AAAGAAAAGTCAGAAATTTATTTGTTTTCTAGTATTTTATCGACCTAACGTTTCGAAAGACTCAACTTCGTCGGAGATCTGAAAATTGTAGTTGAGGTCTGTTTTCACCATGAAGCCAAGCATCTTTTCAGTGCCTGCGTACCTTGACGTTGCAATATAATAGATAAATGAAAACAAAATAGAAATGAAAATAATCAGATCAAAAATGATTGTGAAGAATTTATCTGCAGAAAACTACCGTATCTCCGGTTTTCGCCTGAAGGACGACCACCAAGGCTTTGGCAATGTCGCGGATTTGAGGTCTGCGCTCATTCAGTTAGGCATTTCGCATGAAGATGTCTTTAAGGTTAGATATTGTTTCTTACATCACCTTTTATTATGAGCTGCTAATCATAATATCTTCAGGTAATCTCTGCTTGTATTCTACTGAACAACCTGTCATTCAAAGAAATGAATGGTACGGTTGATGTCGAGAATCTCAGCGGTAAGTGCAGCCTACCCCTTGTTTCAGCAAGATTGTCGCCGGAGAGGACCCCTCGCACCCGCGACGCAGTTTGCGTATCTCTCACGAGAGTGCTCTTTGTTCATTCTAAAGCCTTTCGAAGCCCCGCCCATTGCAAATTTTTTCAGACCTCGAAGATGCAAGCGCCCTTCTTGGAACTTCTGCTTTGGCAATGTACAGAGCTATAATGAAAAGCACTTTGACTACGAAATGTTCCATCAGAGAAGTGAAAATCCCCATATTTAGTTAGGGCAAGGGGTTCGAAATCAAATTTCTTTTCAGTGCCAGCTCACCCGCGATCAACTAGTATCGGCTATTTATACGCGCGTTTTGAGGATGATTCTAATGCGAGCAAATACCTCATTGGGAAGTCTTATGGGTCTCGAAGAGAACATTGATATGAAAAGAGCAGGTAAGCTTTAATACAGATGACAGCATCTTCATTTCAAAGTAGCTGACGGTGTAAACGACCTTTCATCTTTTCGCTGTAGCAAAAGGAAAATAATGGAAAAGATTACCTGCGTATATCAAATTTCCAATTTTCTCAAAAAGTATTGTCAAAAGCTTTTTTCCTTGGAATACCACCCAATTTTTTCTCAGAAAGTATTGATTTGTCAAAAGCTTTTTTCCTTGATATACCATCCAATTTCCAATTTTGTCCAATATAATTTTTCCATAAAAATGCGAGAGAGTACCCATATTCCTGTTTTATGTACTATTTAGCTTGTCACAGTTTCCTGACGCTATGTAGCAAAAATTTAGGCTGCTGTTACTTCAGTTAATAACTTTAAGTGGTAACCCGGAAAAACAAAAACCATGAACTTGCAAAATCCAACTATTTCATAATTTTTCTT